TTTTTGTTTTTTCTCCTTTTTGGCCCTTTTAAGGCTTTGTACCCTCAACCCCAAAAACTCCCCCCCCAACCCGTGTGGTGGGGGGAATTCTGGGGGTTGACGTCCACACAGCTTAAAGCGGCCAAAGTTGAGAAACACTGACCTAAACTGTACAAAAATCCCCTAACTATATATATAAAACAGTATTTCCTTTCAAGAAGAATGTAGTACAGTCTTGATTTTGGCCAACTCCGTTCAAGGCTCATTCACAGTCAGTAATACTCAACGATTTGTCAGTTAAGATTTCTTTTCCTGGCTAGAGGACAATAACCCTTCAAGGGCCTCCAGAAATAATTATGAATGAGGCTGGAAACGGGCTGCCTTAAGAGGCAGAATGATAGCTTATCACGTGAAATACCAACTTCAATGCAAGAAAAGGCACTTTTAAGGCTAGTGTTCAAAATGTTGTCTTTGCATACATGCGGATGGAACTGGCTCGAACTACCATGGCGGGAGCCAGTGTGGACAGCTCTTCCTCCTTCTCTCTTTAACCATGGTTAAAGCAGTAAGACTTTTCCACCTAGTTTCTGAAATGATGGCCCCTTGATTTCAGTCTGCTAAGAGACACCAAGAGTTACACCAGCATCAACACATTGGCAGCATACGCAATTCTGGAGGCAGATTTCGTCAACTAGAACTAATGAATAGAGAGATGGGCCAAACGTAACCACAATGACCATAAGGGAGGCTGAGAGCTAAACACGTTTAAATCTAATTTACTTCAATGGAACAGCTAAACGTTCCAGTTGAAATCCACAGCAATGTGAAGTCTTTAACCATCACGGGACTGGTCTATAACCTGAGAAAAAATATTGCTCTAGTATTTTGCACTGGTTAACCGTACCCAGAACTCACCCTGCAAATCTATTTTTTCCCCCTTTGCTATTTCTCTCCATTCATCCATCCCTCGGTTGAGCTGCGGTCAGCAGCTCAGAAGGGGAACCTCACAACAGAAACAAAACAGAATTAATCCTCAAGCCAAACCGTTGATGTGGGGGAATCACCCTCTAATACTATGTGCCCTACATGCCAAGCCAGCAGGGAGAATCGCTGTTGAAGCGAGACAAGAGGATCAACTGATCGGCTGCAACACTTGACAGAAAGAAAAGAAAAAAAATCCGTGCATTACTGAAGCATGAGGGTTTTGCCTTTAAATATTTTGTGCAAAAACATCAACTTTGTCTATAAAGTTATTACAGCTTCCGGTGCTGGGGCTAAGCAGTGTCGTGTTAGACCGCGGTCTCTTCTTCCCTCGCTCCTCCGCCTGGAAGTCTTGGTCAGTCTTCATTGGCGAGGGTCTCCGTAGACAACCAGATTTTGGCCCCGCTCAAGAATTTGCTCAGGGGCGTGCCCAGAATGCTTCGCCGGCAGAGGTTGCCCACCGGTGAGAACGGAAACGCGGAAGAGAGGAAGTCGGGCGTGGCGGAGCTGTCATGGAGCCCGTGGGCTCTGAAGTACAGCCGGCTCGGCTCCAGCTCCGGCGCATTTGCCAGCGACGGGGGGCTGCCGTTCTGTTGCCGCAAGCTCCGGTTCAAGGCCTCCACCTCGTCGGCCAAGAGAGAGATCTTATGGAAGGCTGTAATGGAACCCCCGTGGTTGATCTGGGCCTCGGGGACCCAGCGGACGTAGCAGAGTTTCCAGAGTTTGATCTGCGTCCTAGAGAGGCGGGGTAGGATTACGCCGTGGAGGTCCGCTGGCTTCGAAAACCAGTCCCGGAAGTACTGTTCCATGCCGTTAGTAGTGTTGTCTATGTGATGAAGGAAGTCGGGTTTTAGTTTCAGGATGAGGGAGTTCCTTCTTGGGAGAAAGTCTGGCTCGCTGATGATTCCATTCTTGAGGGAAGACGGGAGGCCTCTGAGGGTTGAACTGTAGTTCTTCTGGGGGCAGAAGGTGCAATAAAATTGGTTCAGTTTCCCATTGTTCACGGCGCAGGCTCCGTTACACATAAAGGGAATCAAGGAATCAAATACAATTCAGGCAACTGCAGATATGACCTGTGGCTATCCAGCCCAGAATTCTGCATGGCCGTTGTAGGACCCCACTTTGAGAGCTCCAACACCCTACAGGGGTCCCATATGGCTGCGAAAGATTGTGGGAAGCAGGCAGGGGAAGGCAGGTTCATTTGGGGTAAGGAGGGGTAGACCGTAGAGAGTAAGGAAGAGGACCTTGATGGAGATATACAAGCTCCATTACCAAAGCAGTGAGGGGTGAAACATAGCTTAAGTCTGCAACATGAGGAAGAGGTTCAGACAGACACCTCCCTAATTCACAGGAGTATAAGAGGGAGGAGGTCTAGTACCATCAGATTTGCAAGATTGCTAGGACAGCCAATCTCAATCAAAGTAGTTTTAGCCTTCCTGTGGAGTAGATTTTCTGGTCTACCTAGTGGGGCTGAGACAGACCAGCCCAGATGTGGGGGGATCATGGGAAGGAAAAGTTTCAAAGAGACTCTGCCTTAATTGGCTTGCTATTACGTCTGCCTGGGAATTTACTCTTTTCAGTTTTCAAGATTATGTTCCTACACCCAACAAACATGGAAGTTGCCTTTCTGAAATCCCGGGGATTCCCACTTGTTGGATTTGTGGCTATGTGGGGCTTGACAGTAGCCATCTCAAAGACTTCCTCCCAACTATTTCAACTCCCTAAGCCAACACAAGTCGATGTGTTTGTGTGTCTGGGTATGCATACCACACATATTTATTTATGAGACAGATGTTTTTAAAGAGTTCACATCCCAAACTGCAAGCAGGCCACCTGATTAGTTGAAGATGAGTTATCATTTTCTCCTATTGTGTACTGATACATTAAAAAGAAAGAAAGAAAAACCACAACAACAAGCAGAAAAGAAAAGCTGAATTTGGTTTCCATCGCACGCTTCTCAAGCCAAAGGAACGAGAAAGGGACGCCCAGCCCTCCAAGCACGGCTTCCATTCTTATGACCAAACCTGCCATCTCTGTAGCCAACCTGCTTCATCGTCCCGTTCTTACCTTTGATCTTTTAAAGGTTTTCACAGTCCCATTGCATACACAAGGTGTGCTCTTCCCGATGTACAGGGGGTTGTGAAAGAGCAGGCGATCCCTTGGGCTGAGCTGAAGAGACCAATCCCAAGCGGAAGGAAATTTTAGGCCTTTCTCATCACCCAGCTGAATATTTTTGCTTATGGCAAATTCCTGAAAGAAATCAAGTCAAAGGATGTTCACAGAACCAACCAACACTCCCTCCTCAAACATTAAGGCTGTGACCCTTAGAAGACTCCCTTGGGTGCAGTTGAGGCACCCCTGGAGAATCTTTCCCCACCTTGGTGCCCTGAATGGGCTGGATTACAACCCCCCGAATTTTCAGCCAGGTGAACCTGTGCCCTTCCCATTTCTAAGATCGTTATTTTATTTATGCATTTATGTATTTATATTTCAAATTTAGACACCGCCCATCTCACGAGGAAGTGACTATTAGCGAGTTATCACAGAAACGTATTTGTCCCGTTCATGATATGATCTACAGCTATTTACTTTTGGTTTCAAAGGAAATGTTTTATTCTCTACTTTTTAAACTAAGCTAAACCAAAACAGCCTAAGAACATTAATTACATGTCTTGTAAATCTATCAATATAGGCATATTGCTGTCTTGAACACTACCCCCTCTGCCCCCTGCCAACTTACAGCTAAAAACAAGGTAGGGAGATGCCAAGTCATCACCCTTCCTTGTAATCTCTGTTCAAACCAAGATAATGGCATGGGACTTCCTCTGAAGGCCGCCTGCTGGGAGCCTCCTGGGCTTCCTTGGACAGCTGGTTGGCCACTGGGAGATCAGACTCCTGGACCAGATGGGCCAAGGATCCAATCCAGCAGGGCACGGCTTATGTTCTTAGTAAGGGCCACACAAATGAAAGATGCAAAAATCAACTCAACAATGAGACTCCCTTCATGGTGGACAGCTACACTTTTCCAGCATCAGATTTTTTGGCTGGCTGGGGAGAAAGAATTGAGATTGGAGTCTACTCTAAAACGGATTAAAGGTTAAAATCAAAGTCCAGCCACTTCACAATTCCTTGGTACAAAAGGTCCTGTGCTTCATGTCATCGTTGCCTGGAAGGTTTAAACTGCACAATGAAGAAGCTCTCTACAGAAGAGCAACGTGTCTGCTCAGGAGCAGCCATCATGACTGTAACACCATGACAGATACCCTCCTGAAGTCAAATTCTTCACCCATTTCAGTGTGGCCTACCATGACCCCCTGGTTTGACCCCAAACTGCCACCTTCCTAATATTTTTGGTCCTATTTTGCACCCACCGTGCTCTGCTTCACTCTCTGATGTGGAGAATTGAAGAGGAAAGTACCAAACAGGGAGATCCGCGTGCTGTCGTACAATATGGTTAAGTACGCTTCTGAAAATTCGAAGGCCGACGGGTACTGCTCTAGCAGCTGCCAGACGCAGTCAAGGAACATCAGGAATAAAGGAGACTAGAGCGAGGGGAGACAAACGGTTGGAGAAGTCAGACCTCGCAGATGCCTCAACTGACTGCAAAGCAGATAAAAGCTCCCTCAAGTGAGTTCAACTCCTGGTGACTTCATGGGCTCCACCATGAATTGGTTTGCCATGGCCTTTTTTCAATGATGTCCTTTCAGATTTCCTAGTCTCCCCTACATCCCTGGGACTTCCTAGTGGGTTCCCATTCAACTATGAACCAGGTTGGCTCTCCTTATATTTTTTTAGTGGGGAGTTCGGGCAAGGTTCACTAAGTTCCACCATTAAATGTCTGTAGTCCAAGCATTTTTGCACTGACCCATCAGGCAGTTGCCTGCACTCACAAGGGCTCAAGCTGTGATCAGGATGATCAATGCATCCTGGCTCTGCCTCTTGTTCCTCCATGCACCTTGCCCGCTCTTCCCCACTGAATTAAATGGATCCTGTATTAACTTGTTCTGGACGGAGAAATTCCTATTTTAATTTTGTTAAGTACTCCTAGCTATTTCTTCACACTGAGACTTTTTTCATCCTATTACCTCTTTGTCAGATTTCTTCAAGTGATTGCACCTATCAAGAAACGGGTACCCTGCCATGACCCACTCCTTCTGAATCAGGCTTTGAAATCCAGCGATGGTCCGAAAATGGGGATCCAACATCACTTGGATAAGAGAAGCCACGCAGCAGCTTAAGTCTCGCCCTTCTTCCTCTGTGGAAGAGGAGTGTGGAAGAAGGAAAGGGTTAGCCATCAAATGTAAGGATTCTTTTTGCACAACCAATGCTACTGTGAAGGGTTGATGTAGAGAGTGAGGAAGATGACCTTGGTGGAGACATGCAAGAACCTTTACCTAGGCAAAAGGGGGTGAAATGTTTTTTAAGCCCAGAGAAATGAGATAACATTTGGAAGAAGCTCAGGCAGACACCTCCCTAATTCCCTGGAGCATAAGAAGGGGGAGGAGGAACAGCTAATCCAACTTGCAAGAGTCTGTTATTATAGTCCATCTCAATAAAGTAGTTTGAGCCTTCCTGTAGAGTTGATTTCTTAGTCTAGTGGGGCTGACAGTTGAGGACAGAGTGACTAACAATGAAATGGAAGTAGAATCTGATCACAGACCACAGGGCCAGCATTCTCTTTTATTTCCACATACTGTATTTGCAGTTTGGCCCAGAGGATGTTGTCTAATCCCATATTAGATGATTCACTAAGACAAGATCCAGCTTGTGATGTGTCTGGGCAAATGGGTACAACTCCCAGTGCAGGAATCTATTCTTAATGCAAAACTGCTTTTCTATGCTGTATAATTTATCCAGAGCCCCTGCTTCATAAGTGATCCTCTAGAAATATAAAAATCTACTGCAAAGTATCAAGCTTCTGCTTTTCACATGAATATTGGTGGAAACCAGTTTTAAACGCCTACGCAACTCATCAAAACTTCAACTGTAGAACAATCAATCTGGTTTAATGCGTCTCTACACCAGATGAACCCTGGGAAGAAACTGGATGAGAGAAGAAAAGAGATCTGTTTACGGCATGGAGTAGGGATAAATATATGAGAAGGAACTGGATGAATTAACTCTGATCATAATGCCAGCACTGTCTTAAGTAATTATTTTTGTTATAAATAAAGATTTTGCATGAGCATCAACATGATTTTTCAAAATAGACTGGCTTACCTTGTAAAATTACTGATACATGTTTGCTGTCCAGCATATAGACCAGTTCTGCAGAATGCTTCAGGAAGAGTCTAGACCAAGAGAACCCAAACCCTAGATTAGCTTAATTAAGTGAATTTACAGGTTACTCATCATACAAAATTTCCAGAAATCAGTTAGCTTTAATGCCTGGCAACGCTGATATCTCCAGGAGATTCACATTTTCAAAACTCAGACCTTCTACAACCTGTGTAGATGGGAGATTCTTTCTGAGGATCTCACTTGCAAGTCGTATCACTTTAACCTTTAACTGACATTGTGTTTATGGTAAGTGGTCCTCCAGTTTTGCTGGAGAGAAGACTCCAACCTCCTTACATACCTCACATACTCCAGCCAATGTGAATTATCCAGCAAGGACAGCCATTTCTCCTCCGTTTCTTCAAAAGGTTCTGTGGTAAAGGGAGAAATTATTTCCAAGAATGTCTTTGCCTATCAAGGACCAGCATTATAGGGTCTTTGAAAAAGAGTCCAAGCACCATGGGTTACATGTTGCTTAACCATGATTAAGGGAGGACTGGTGTAGTCCTCCGAGATTTGAATATAAATTCCCCCAGAACCCTCAACTATGCCTGAATCTATGGTTGGCACTGCCAGAAACTATGGCAAATATTAACCAGGTTTGTTTGGTTTTTTTGTTTCCAAACCAATGCTTCTATATAGATATATAAAGCTTTAGGCCAAGATGGTAGCCAAATCCGGACATTCATCTCCCAGATGACAGGAACACGTGAGGAAAAGTGAAAATGATACTGCAATGCTCCTGCACTTACGTTGTCCAGGTCTTCAGAAGAAAAAATCATCAGGAGTATATATTTAGAAGAGGCAGTTTCTTCTTCCTATCTCACGACTTCTTGTGATTAGAAGGTAGTAGCTACCAGATACTCCATTCTATTTAAGTAATCCTTTCTGGACTTTGAGAAGTGAATATATTCCAATCTTAGAGAAATGCATCCTGCATCTCAGACTGTCCGCCTCTTGCAAAACAAGAACCGAAACGTATTTGGAAGACGTACCATTCACACACAACTGCTTCAGTTTGAGAAAGGCGGTCTGGATTTCGTGGATATTTGGCAGACTTTTATCTAAGTCAGATTTGTAAACATCGCTCCTCTGTGGGTGACTTCTGGTAATAGCATTGCAAATCCTAAAAGAAAAGGAAGAGAAATCAGACAGAGGACGTTTTTAGAAGTGCCTCAAGATGCTTCACCCCATGGCTGGCCTCCAAAGCCCCTTCTCAGCCCGAAGCAAAGCTGCAAACTTCCCCTCCCTACCCTAGCTGTATCCTGTGGGCGATGCACCCAACCACAGCCTCAAAAAATACTCTGCTACGAAGCACCAGATGGCCAGAGCAGCGGGTGGATAAGAGAAGTGACACGGAGACAATCTTACCATACTTCAAAGCTCGGAGTCAACTAGCTAATCTGCCCTTTCTACTAAGACTTGATAATGTAAAACAGTGTAAAATGATTTACAGGAACATCCCCTGAAACCCAATAAGCTAGTTCTCCACAGTCTGATGCTCTGCCACCCTCATCAACCCATCTGCCAACGGGGTTCCTTGGAATGCCTGCCGCTCTCACCGCTGGCCATCCTGGTTGGAGACGATGGCTTTAGGAGGGCCCTGTAGAGCAGAATGCCACATGGCAGCCCTTTCATTCTGGGTATCTGCTCTCTCTGCTTGGGGAGGAAGATAGTTTCAAAAAAAGACAAATGAAATCAGACCGCGATCTTTACCGTTGGTCTATTCTTCGCTGCTGCAGGGCGTCCTTGATATGGGCCATTCTCACAAGCGCATTCCCGTTGGAATGATTCCAACACCACATCTAGGAAACCGAGGTACATTTTTAAGGTAAGTGGTACGTTGCATACATCACAACAGCGTCTTAAGAATCAGCCTTCATTTTCAAGTGACTATAAGAAGCTGGTTCAGAGAGGAGGTTTGCAAAGTGGTGCCGGAGGCTGAAGAAAGTGGGCTTTTCAGGGTTTAACAGGGCAACCTGTAGTGACCTAGATAGTTTCCTTTGCGTCTCTTGCCCTTCCTGGCTACAGTTACATCCCCCGCCCCATCCCAACACAGCTTTATTCTGCTCCCTTTCTTTCCTGTTGGCCTCAGAGCATCCTGGCCAAAAATATCAGCTTATTAAAAATTCTGGATCCTATGAATTATTTGCACCTCAATCACGATAGGAGGCTCATCTACAGTGTCAAAATGTCAAGAGTCTGGTTGCATCTTTTCCAGCTAACAAATGTCAAGCTTATGCCTTTTAATAACATTCGTTAGTCAGAAAAGGTGCTACCGAAGTCCTGGCTTTTTGGTATCCCAACGTGCACTATGAGGGCCCCAGGGCCCCCGTGCCAGAAAAAAGACAAACTCTTCTCTGTCATCAGAGCAGCCTCCATTTCTTTCAGGCTAATAATACGTCACCCGCCTTTTGTCTCTTTTTACATTTCAAGAAAGAAAGAGCCGCCACGTCTTCCTCACACTTACCGGCATCCGTCGTCCCGTGAAGGAGTGAGAATACAGCTTTAGATCTTGATCCGCGAGAGAGGAGGGCACTACAAAATATTCTGGAAGGCTTCAGAAAAAACAGGAAGAGGGTCACACTCATCGTTTTGAAGTTTAAGTCTGTCATTTTAATCCCAACACGAGATCTTAAAAATACGGAGCCTTACAAGATTTCTCAGCAATCCAAACACACTTTCTTCTTCTGAACACATTGATTGTCATCTCTGAAGGGAGCAGCTCACAGGAAGAGCAGAAGGTGCCCTACATTTCACACTCATCCTGCTTTCACCCCTGCTGCCACTTCCTTGTTAAAAGAAAAAGATTACCTGGTGGATATCATGTAACCTTCATTGACTGAACACACGCGCCACTCTGATGCTCCGGTCCTCTTGATTTCTCTATCCCAGTCTGAGAAAGTTTCAAACAAGGGAGTCTGGTGGCCAGCCCCTCCTCCTCCTCCTCCTCCTCCTCCAGGGTCTATTCCATTCACTTTGTTTGCTGGAAGAAACAGAGCAAGAAGAATATTTCCATTTCCAAGTGGAAATGCACAGAGGCACTGGATTTTAGAAGAAAAACAGAGCGTGATCAATATTCAATGTGCGGGTTTTTAACAGAGGAAAAATGAACTGAAATGCTGTAAACCGCACTGGATTTTTTTTTTTTTAATTGCAATGACAACTAGGGTTGAGTTTCCCTAATTCCCCAACTATTTTCAGGTTCTCATGGTCTGGGGCTACAACCTCTTAGGGGGTTCTGCCCCAAAGTCAGTCTGTCCATCTGCCATTTTGCTGCTTGAATGGCACCCAAAGTTTTTGATCCGAGCAAAGTTCCCCTCCCACAGCTTCATGACAGAGCCAGTATGGCTTGCGTTAAAAGACTGGGGATGGACAAATTTCCTCCACTTCTTCTGTAATATCTGCGTCTAATTAATTAACTAACCAGTTGATATTCAAGTCACTTCATTCCTAATCATTAGAGGTTATTCTGAAGGTCTTCAATCAAGAAGGCCCAGAAGTGATAGAACTTGTACCCATCCCAAAGGCATTTCTTGCAAATTGACCTAAGTGGGATGGTGTATACCCAACTCAAGAGGAGTTGCCAAGATGTGAGCGGAAAGAGGTTGAGCCACCTAACAAGTCTGCAGGGGAAGACGCTTGGAGTGTCCCCAGTGGGATAAATCTGGACCAGAGGAAGCCTGTCCCCAAGGGAAGGAAGAGGGACGTATTCAGGTGTCCACTGAACCAAGACCCATAAACAGAAAGCACTGATACATCTGAGGTCTCAAACCCTCTCTGTGGAGTTTGACTCTCACTGATGATGTTACCTAGTTGGGTGATGAAACGTCTGCAAGCCAACAACCAAGTTCAGAGAGCACCAAAGACTCTACAGTTCAACCCTGAGCTACAGAGATTCTCCTCTCCTGAAACCCTCTCTGCATCATTTTAACAAATCAGATGAATACAGAAAGGCCATTTTAAAGCTGTTCACAAGTGGCCCAAGACTATAGGGCTTCTTGCAATCACCAAGTAGCTTCTGTAAAAGTTAATATCCAGGTTACGATTTTAAAAGCCGCCGCACCTGGCATTTCAAAGCTCTCCGTTACCTGGATTGTGGTATCTCTTGCCCACATATTCAAATGCAAAAAGCAGCTGGAGATCTGCCGGTTGGGAGTAGTGTGCTATAGCAAGACACACCTGAAGGTGGAGAAACAAAAGGAGAAACGATCTTCAGATGAGAACAAGCAAGGCAGAGCCCCTTACAAATTATTTTCACGGGTGAGAAATTACAAAGAAGGTTCGGAAAACCGACCTCCCAAGTCAGCTCTCGGAGGAAACGCGTTGCCTCCTGGAATGGCTGGAACTTCGATTTCCTCTCCTCCCCAAAAGCCTAACTTGTTAGCTGTTGATGCCTAAAAGAGCAACTGTGCACAGTAACGCCTTTGTCATGGATTTTAATGGATGCCATTTCTTATTAGTGCCAGACTGCCAATGGCCTCCACTCCATGTCATGGAAAAGGAAAAAGGTCAACATTTTTCTGTCTACCAGGAGAAAATATTTCACAAATTAATCATGGTCTTGTTTTCAGAAGCACTTATGGTGCAAAAAGGGAACCTTTTAAGATCTTCGGATGAAACTGGCCGCTCCAACTTTCAGTTCCTACTTTCTGAGAATCAGCCCAGATGGAACAGTCTGAGAATCAGGGTTGGCTGTTGCTTTTTTTGGATCAGTCCTACAGGAGACCTAAGGAAAGATTTTGCTTTCTGTATCCCACACCATATTTCTTCTGGAAGGGTGTTCCTGCGTTCATCTGCCTTTTTCTGGAAGATCAACTAGGTTTAGGCTTCGATCTGATATATTTTTGTCCTGCTCCATCTTGATGGACATTCTGGAAACCGACTCCTGAAGTCTGGTCTTTTCCTATGGCATGCAAAGCAGCAAAAGGGGCTGCAGGGGGTGGGCAGAACTCATTGGCTGGGATCACGTATTTCATTAAGCCTGGTTTATTCAATAAATCATAATGGTCTAGATTCACGTAACACACTATGCCCAAATCAAGCCAACCACATATTGTTTCAGAGTGTTTTGTGAACTAGACACCAACAGAATGTCTTTACACTTACTGGATTCATGCCCTACCTAGTAAGATCACTCAATAAGGTGCTTTCGGGGAGAAAAAAGAAGAGCTTTTTGCCAACAACATCTTTCTCCAAATCAGTATGACACTCAATCCCCCCTCATCGAACTGCTTCTCCTAGGCGCTGATGTGGTTGGACGGAGGGCAGCTTTGCTCTTCCTTCTGAGGTGAGACTCAGAAGAACTCCACCCCCACCTGAGGGAAGTTGAGGGGCCTTCTCCCAACTAGCATCCTCTGGCTGGGAATTCCAGGTGCTCCAGACCCAAACATCTGGAGAGGACCAGAGTACAGAAGGCTGCACTTGAGAGTGAAAAGAGAGCAAGAGCAACTTTGATACCAAACACCATTTATCTGTGCCCAAGTAAGGTAATTTAGTCCGGCAATACGCAGCCGGTGGTGAAGGGGCCAACCCAGCTTGAAGGCAACACAACTGAACACTTCTTTCCCTTTGTAAACTGAAATCCAATTACACACGGACAGGAACATTGCAACTACAAGGGATAAACCAAGAGGTGAAACTAATTCTAATAGACTGGTTCTTATTCTTCTCCAAGGATCGTGAAGCTTAGCTGAGCCATCAAACCAAGCTTACGATCCTCCCAGGGTCCAAAGCAAGTGTCACTTCACAACCCTGCTTGAAACAAATCATTTCCTATAAAGTTGCTGATTTAATTCTTCAGTGGCCTTGCTCACAGTCCAGCTCCCCTCCCTCCCTTTCCTCCCACACCCGCCTGACTCAAAAATCATTTGACAGCAAAAATAACTGAACTGCAAACTGAAGCAAGCAGTGTTTCCATCTCCCCTTCAGTTCCTACCAACCCATTTATTCAGGGCATGTCAATAATGCTTGTGTAAACTAAGGCTGGCAAAATGGTTGAATTTTGGTGACAGGATTGCAGGGCATTTTTCAAGTTTGTGGAAGACTCTAACAATAATAGTGGTCTTACTTCCCGAGGCTTCCTATTCCCAGTCCTCTAAGATCTCCAAAAGAGTCAGAAACATTCAGCCACAATCATACAGGTGATGACACAACATCAAGGAATGGCTTTGTGCAGAAGGTTGAGACGTTCAACTGCATCCCCCCAAACCTCAGTAGTTGCCCCCTTCTGGCCTAAAGACCCCATTCTTTCTCCAAAGGAAGTGGGAAAGGGTTTGAACATTCCCAAATTGGGAATGTTCGGGAGGAAATACCACCATGAAAACAGCAAGAGAGAGAGAGAGTGAAAGAGCCTGAAACTATTTCTTCTGTAGTGCAGGAACTATGACCCGACTCAAACAGATAGTAATTCACTGACTGCCTTCTCTTCCCTGGGACCCTCCAGGTTTGGAAAAGAAAAAGTGAAGCAAGAGAAAACAGACTCAGCTGGAAAAGATAAAACATTCTTGATCTCACTCCATTGAGAAGTAAGCACACTATTTCTCTTCCTTGGCCAACCAGAAGTGGGCTCAGAAGGACAACTTAATACTGGGTTTTCAACCGAGATTACAAACCCTGGAACCTAAGCAGCACCCACAATGCACAGGACCAAAGATGACTGGAGTGAGCTGAAACATCGAAGCAACATGGAAAACTGAGAAGACGACTGTGGCGTGCTCCTAGTCTTCTAGCTAAAAATATACTGCAGCTGATTGGCAATGCTCCTTTCAGGTTGTTCCTCAAGCAGATGGTTGTTAAGGAGGAGCAGAGACATGTTGATCTTACTCCGGCAGCTCAAAAACCAGCTTTTTCTGGGAAAAATAACAGAGCCAAAGGCTGCTAAGAACAAGGAAAATGTCTTGGAGGATTGTTCAGAGTTCAAGGCCTACTGTTTATATGTTTCCTCTGTTGATCAGATGAAAGAACTGTGTGTTTCCTGAATTGATTGAATCAAAAGGAAATGCTCCTTGGGAATTGCCAGTAGCTACCTTTCTGCCAAGGGACTAACAAGCTAGCCAATCCATGAGGATATCCATCTCATGTTGGCGTGGAAAATAGTCCAAAATGTATCAGCTGGTGAAGGTGACATTTGGGCACTGCACGTGACACTTTGCTTTTGCACAGCTTTTTAAACTAATTGCCCACCATGTTAGAAATAATTATTTCCCACTCCTTGGCACATTACAGTCTTTCCTTCCCATTCTGGTGTGTACACAAGTTCACATGTGCACGGATGGTGCAGAAGCACATGTAGCAATACACGCAACATTATCTGCAGTGTTCATGTTGTGAGTCTGAACTCTACTAATATTGGGCGATGTAAACATTTGGTTCCGCTGATGTGAGGAATGCGCTCAAAAATCCCTTTGTATTTTATGCTTTCGTTTTTTGGGAAAAAAATCTATTTTAGATTGCCAAACAAGATCAACTCAGCCCATGTCTCAGTTTCAGGATGTTAGATATTTACAGAGTCCACTAGCTGAAAAAAACCCCACAAAACACCTTTGCCTCAACCCACAGCTGTATGAGAAATTTAAACCAAGGTGCCAACTAGTGGTACATGCCACGCTGAATAGACTTCTTGTTCTCTTTTTTTTTAACCCAAGCCCAAACATTCATTTGGGAGGTTTTATATACGTGCAGAAGATGAACCATCTGCCAGGGAAAATTCTTGACTCCAACTTGCCAGGAGCTCTATGTACATTTTCACATCTGCTTCTTTGAGAAACAGCGGATGAGAGAGAGGACAGTCACTCCTTGTGCAGAACTGAGTTTTCGGTTCTCTTCAATGGGAACCACCTTTCTGTGTCTTGCATCAACAGAATCACTTCTGTGAATGCCTTCTTTTAAAACACGGTTGAATTCCACTCTGATGAGGTTTAAAATAAGTCGATTCTATTCGATCCATGGAGGGCTAATATCTGAATGGTGGAACAAACTTCCCCTTTCCCCTAGAGAATCAGGAAGATTCACTACCATTTAAAGATGGTGATCTGATCTCTTCCTGAGGTCCTGTCCAGCCTAAAGGAGCAGAGAATCACTTCTCAATGCACATCTTGCCGGAGGATGAGAAACAACACAGTGGGGTAGTTCAGACTCTAACAATTCAGTCGAGGGTGGCCTTCCCAAGCAGCCCCTTCAGTCTTTCTTTCACACCATGCAGAAATCAAACCACAAAACTATGGATGCTAGCTTCCAAAGAAGCTAAGACATAAAACCAATTAAGTTCCTGGCCTGTTCCTGAACTCTTAATGTTCTGTTACGATAGCCAATCTCAATAAAGTAATTTTAGCCTTTCTGTAGAGGTAATTTCTTGGTATGGTCTACCTAATGGGACTGACATCAATCTTGCAAGTCTGATTGTGCTGTATCTCCTCCTCCTGCCCAGAAGCAGCTCATCCTAGCAAGGAGATATAAGACATTTCTTCTGCCAAGGCTACACTGGAGGGCCCATTTTTGACAGTTTCAATACTCTGAAACAGTGAAATGCCATTTAATTAGTTGGAGGGTTGATCAATTCTTTCCCTTCCCGCAATTAGCAGCTGACAAACTTTGTCTTCATCCAATACTTCCCTCCATCTACTATTTCAACTGTAGATATTCAAGACACAGTACCTTCTTTGCACTTTCTGGTCCAGCTTCATCAAAACGAAAACGGACAATACGAAAGTCTTTGCAGTAAATGATTAATTCCGTTGGATTAAACTTCAGTTTTTGGTTGGGGCCCAGAACTTTCTGCTTCCTCTTTGTATCATTCACTGCAAGAAAGAGGGGAAGAGGCCTAAAATATTATACACTTTTGTTTAAAACAGAGCATATAAAACACATGTCTTATAAAGGCTGTTAATATGTGCTTTTGTTTCTGCAATTTATATGCCACTCAATTCCTAATTAACGTAGACGTTTAAGAACTCACTTCTCCATACCTGTGACTATTTGCTCTACACATGTCAGGGCCACATCATGTTCTCCTAGGAGAAGATTTCTGTACTGGAACTTCTGAAATATAAGAGATACATTCAGGATAAATACGATAACTCACCATTTTAGTTGCGCCCCGCTGCAGAAAGGCCGAAATCTTTGTTTTGGATTTTTTGGGGGGGAGGGGAACAAAAATGGACTATAACACCGTGTTCCAAATATTATATTTTCCAAAGTCATTTGAAAGCACTTCATTTTGTTCCATTCTTATTTATACTAAAAAGTACTTATTTAATTTCAGCATGTATACATGTATTCCAAAGGTATTTTTAAAAAGCTCTATGTATTTTTAGAGATTTTTCCCTCTTTTCCTTTTTTAAAAAGATAGTGCTTGCTTGGGATAAAGTGATCTTTCCTCTACTCTCCACCCCCAAAATACCTGAACTAACTGCCTGCCTTTGCCACAGTTACATAGTGCAAATTCAGGGAAAAGGTGCAAATATGTCAGGCAGCAGAATCTACAAAAGTTGGATATTTCTCATCAGGTTAATCCCCAGCCCTGCATTGCAAAGTGAGAACTGCACAGCGTGACCCAAATCCAAGTTCAAAGAGGGCTTCCTCTTCTTGTCTAGGAAAGGAAATGTCCTGGGCAGATGGGGGATTCCTGCCGGAATCCTACAAAAGAGACCGGGGAAACCCCAACGCGCCCAGAGCTGCTGAGCTCTGAGTGCTGCCCAGAGTGCCTGAAGAGCAAATCCATCCATTCATTTTCATCACAGCCTGTTTTGCTTGATTTAGAGATGGGGCAAGATGAGAAAGAGGCAGGGTGGTCACAACAAGAGGTTGCAAGATTGTGACCAGCTGGGAACGTGAACGCAAGCCTCCCTAAAAATCCAACGAAATGGAGTCAGAACATCTAACCCCGTGATAAGGACTACATCGTAGATATAATGATCTAGGACTGGGCAGGATTAGGCCCCTGAAGGTTGAAAGCAGGTAGTAGAGACGCAGCAGCCTCAAAACCCAGCTGAGATGCCACCAAAGAGACCTGAAGGAGCTTCTAACTGGGGTGTTATTTATGCTACGCTACGCTGCTCCCTCCACAAACACACCCAAGAGGCGTGTTAGCATTTGTCCAATACTAGGTGAAATCTTCAACTTGTCACAAGACAGGACAGTGGAGAGGCGCAGGAAGAATCAAAGCTCTCTTCTGGGGTCGTGCATGAGCCTCATATCGTATGCATGAAAAAGTGATACCTCGGTAAACAGCCTGGACTGCAAGTCACAGGCTCAGGAGCCTTCCCAGTGAACATCCATGGTGCCCTGCACTGGCGTCAACACCGCTAAGAGCAACCCTATTCATATTATGGCATCAAACCAACCTGAAATGGGATGGTGTCATCTGTAATGAAGGATATCTTGAAGTTGCTGCAAATCAGCTTTCCCCAGAGGTCATATTGGCTTGTATCAGTTGCAATGCATTTCCTCACAAAGTTCACTTCATTCACCACAATTTCACCTTGAAAAAGAAAACAAAGCATTTGAAAAATAAAATAAATATATAAAATAAAAATCACTGAATAAAATCTTCAACTAAATCAGAGCTTCTTAACTGTTTTGTGTCACAGAGCCCTTTAGTGAAATCTACGGACCCCTTCTCACAAAAATGTAGTTAACTGCAGAAAATTAAAGTGTGAAAATAAAGTACTATTTTTTCCCTCGTCTGAGTTCACGGACCCTCTGAAACCCTCTTACAATGCTTTCATGAAGTCTTTCAATTATTTTCTTCTAAGATTATTTATAGTAACAAATTAAGTACTCAATAAAAAGTGTCCAGATCCACACTTTGAATACCCAGTAATGCTCCTGCCAATAATGTTCCTGCAAGTGATTAAGCACGTACATTTTTATGGACTGATTTTAAAATATTTATATGATACTATCCCAGTTGAACCAATTTGGTTTTCAAGAGTAGGAAGTTTTGAAGCTTTTAAGTAATGAAAACCTAACATTTAAAGGGAGGTTTAAATAAACTTTTTTGCTGACTTCAATGAACTTTTTTGCTGATTTATATAAACGTTTTGGCTGATGACCCAGAGCTAATGAAACTTCATGTCTTCAGCAAAAGCTGCAGGTGGCCCGTGCTTTCTTGCAAACCCTTCTGGAAATACTTAAAACTTACTCCTCGTCCATAAAACCCCAATCAAAAAGAATAGTCCGGGTCAGTGTTTTTCTACTCCCCCATCTCAAACTCATCAGAACCAAAAGTGAGAAAATGCTCTTCAAGAACAATTCAGATCAACCTGAAAGCTTTTTTTTCCTGTATTGGCCAGCCTTTGGCTCAGAACCCTGCCTTCCCACACCAAGGTAAACGACAGCTCTATTTGCAGGTATTTGAACGTTATGTTTACTCTAAATTTAGCTTCAGTCCAGCACCCTTCTCCTTCCATTTTACAGGCACAAGCCGTTCCAAGTGCAGAATGACAGTCACATGCGTGTGACTCGAGCAGAGATGTCAGAGGCAAGAAGGCTGCATTTGCTCTGCCAAGAACACCCAGCAACACAGCTATATCTGCAGGATTCATACCAGAATTAAGAGCCACCCAAAACCCTAAGGGAGGCATGTAAATTAAAGCCATAAATAAATATCTACAACAAAGGTTTACTTGGAAATCTGAGTTATGCTTCAGATGCAATTATTAAGAAAAGCAACATCTGAACTTCATAACAGATTTATTTATGTATTTGAATGTATTAGATGGCCCATTCTAAAAAAAGAAAGAAAGAAAGAAAGAAAACTATTTAGCTGGGCAGCCATGTAGAGAGGGGGTTTTGCAATGAGAAGAAGTGCTTCAAGCCTTGGTTACAATGATCCAACACAGATTTGTCCTCAGTTAACACCCAATTTAGCATTGTACTTCTCCAGCATCATTCAGGAAATTCCACAAAGGTCTAACACAGGAAATATCATTATGTAACAATCTGACATAAAAAGGCTGGAATGCTGAGCTGAGTAGAGATGAAAAGGGGGGGTTTGGTATCCTTAAATTCTGTGTTGGGCTAGTGATCATTGAAGCTAACAGCCAGCATACAAGGTTGGTCTTGGGGCCAAACAGGTAACAGTTCTCTAAGGCTCTGCAAGCTGGTGGAGATCTGAACCCAACTCCTTATGAACTTCATTTACATCATTCACATTTCACACGCTAAATGACCAGCAGTACGAGTTCCCACCAGAAGTATATTTTGGACTTTCTGGGCATGAATGCACCTGCCCCAACCTTTTTATTTTCAGCAAGTGCCACAACTTTCCTTGAGTTTGAAGAAGAATAAAAGCACTTGTTGATCTGACCCTACCAACTACAACAGAGGCGAGAATTTATGGGAAAGGAAATGCCAGCCAAAGAATCTGGCATCTGTAATGCCTTCCCAGGGCTGCAGATTCATAAACCCTGTATCTGCTTAGCATTTGACAGTAGAAGCAATGTACAAAGCTCTTTGTTTACTCGACAGTGGAGAACACTGACCATTACTTTAAATACCAACTAAAGACTTCACCTTTGTTAATGCTGACAAATGGGGCACCTTCTGAAACTTTATTTGCTCGCTCTTTAGGAATGCAGATACGTAGGATCAGTAACAGGTCACTGTTTGTTAAAGATCCTTTCTTGCATTTTGGGCTGATGTTTTACAATTCTGTGGTCAAAGTTTTGATGGGTAAGCTGCCAACAAAATTAACTGGGGCCTAAAGCACTGCCCTGCTGAAGTCTATTTTGTGTGCAGTGAAGAGGAAAGTCCTCACGGACCTCACATTCCAGGTTAATCTCTCTTGCATCAAACATCAGCAGCTAAATTCCAGAATTCTAATGATAACAAAACAAAACGAAAAAAACCCTGTACAATGTTGAAGTTTTTCCAACTCTTAGAATGTCTTATTTGCTGATCAGTACAATGGGCACAACTCAAGCACTGTCATGCTTGAATTTCACCAGTCTTCTTGAAAAAGCTACTCCACACCTCATCTCGTGGTAAATTATACTAGCATGGTTCTTCCACGTGAACTCTCCAACTTGTACCTCCACTCCATTTCTGTCCATTTGTTTTGTAGCAGCATCGCAGAAGCAGGAGCATTTAGACAGCTGTAGGGTCACAACAGCTGATAGGTTCACATAACCCCTTGCACTCCCCTGTCTTATTAAGAAGCATCTTGGCCTCCAAAAACATTAACCTCTTCTATTTATCTCAATTCCCTCCCTTTTTTCTCTCCTTCCAACTCTTCAGCCAATCTAATCTGACCCATTGCCAGGTGCGTTTGACTGATGCACCACCAAGGGTCGTCTCTTAGTGACCACACAGATAGACCTACTCCAGGATGACCATCTGTCTATCTTTCCAAGTCCTTCATTGCTACCCTACTAAATGCTCACCTGTGGCATATTTCTTGATCACTGGTTCCTTTATTATTGATCGTTGATCCTAAAAAGCAGAAGCTATTCGCTACCTCTGTATCTCTACTGACCATTCTAAGGCTAGTTGCTCATGGCTTTGATTTGTTTATATTGAATCTTGGCCTCACTTTTCACTGCGCCCCTTGACTTTCATTACTAGAGCTTGTAGATCATCTGCATTTTCAGCTATCAGAGTAGTGTCGTCAACACAGCACAGATTATTAATGTTTCTTCCTCCAATTCTAAACCACACTCAAGTTCTTCCAAACTACCTTCCCTCAGTATATCATAGAGCATACAGCCCCGGATGTAATTTTTTTTTTAATTAGGTCAAGTTTTGTTGTTTTTCAGTTTTAATAAACTGTTAGCTACCTTACAATAATGAGAGGGGCAGCCATATAAATTGTTTAAATTAATAAACAAACACATCCACATGGCAGTATACTCTGGTCGCAACCCGAATTGGTTGCAACCCGAAGCAAATTATCCTTGCCAAGCCTACTCTGCATTTTCTTCGGAGCCATGCTGACAAGCACACCAAAAACCTTCCAAACGCCACAAAACACACCACAAGCCT